CGGTTTGTGCTTGATGGCCAGAACGGTCGGAAGGTACACTGCCACGATGTAGAGGGCGAGTGTCGTCAGACGCCGGTGTCTGTCCGTCACCAATGGTGACGGACAGACACCGGCGTCTGACGTCACCAACGGACAGACACCGGCGTCTGACGTCACCAATGGTGACGGACAGACACCGGCGTCTGACGACACTCGCCCTCTACATCGTGGCAGTGTACCTTCCGACCGTTCTGGCCATCAAGCACAAACCGGACCTGGTGGAGGCGCCCCGACATCTGTTCGACCAGCTGCAGCGACAGAGGCAACACATGGGAGGCCCAGACCTGCAAACTGTTCAGGGTAGCTTGTGCGGCAATGCGTTGATGGCTCATCCTGAGAACGTGGTGCTCGGTATGCTCGGTGACGAGCGCCGTGACGTCAGAGCACGAGCCGTGCAGATGGTGCGCGAGGCACGAGCTCGCCGGCAGCCTGGGCCAGTTCGCCAGTTCCGTGTGCAAAGCGCGTCGGTGAATGTGTCTGCTCACCAGTACACGGAGCTTGTCGACGTCACCATGTACGCTCGAGTGGCTGATGTAGAGCCACCTTGTGTTCGCTTTCTCAGTGACGGCGACCTGGAGGCACTGGTGGACGAGCCGCTGCGGACTAGGGTGCCATGTCACACCCAGTCCACAGAGCGCGCCGTCAAGCTTACCACCCAGTCCTCTGGAGCGGTGGCGGGCGCGGTGCGCCAGGACGGCTATAGCTTGAATAAGATAGCCTTTCGGCGTCACTTTCGCGGGCAGTAGTCAGTAGTCGGACTCCAAGTGGCGCTATAGTCGCGGGCGCTGTGACCTAGCTTAGATGGACACCAGGATAAGAGGACATAATCTCCTTGTGCGAGATGTGCTAAATATCACATGTTGTTGCTTTGTTCGTTTTATGCCGTTGCGTAAGGTTTAGTGGTTGTGACTAGTGCCGGCAAAATCGCCAGGCTGTGTGGGTGTGGTGCGTACTCCTTTGTGGGTATTTCATACCCAATTCTATTGAAATTAGGCAGAATAATACACCGCTTGTGTCATTAGTTTGTAAATATCAGTATCGTCACTCAAAATGTCGTCGCAGTGCGTCAAAACACATGAGAGCGATGGCCCGTCCTCTACCGGTAGCGACCGCCCTGGCGGTCGCCACCTAGCGGCCGGGAGCGGAAACACGGAAATGGCCTCAGTAATTTCAGTCCAAAAATAATTTGGCTGGCCCTAGCTCACTAATTTGCGCACATACGCCTAGGAATATGTTTGCTGCATCTGTTAAATATCATTTTAATAACTTTATTCTTCATTTTTCTGATATATGGTAAAAAATGTGCGAATTCGCAAAATTTTCAAAATCTTTGATCGACCGGGGCCTACAAAAAAATTCGAAATTTGCATTTTTTATGTGCTTATCGTAATCAGCGCCCCAAAATGCACCAGATAGGAGGGTGAGACCGTGACTTTTCAAAAAAGTGATGCAAACCGGACCACCCTAGTGTGCAACTTACCCCTTACCCCTTAATCGGCCCTTAAAGGAAGGGGCGCGTCAAAAGTGCCTCAAGGGTTCGTCTGATCGCCAAAATAAGGGTCGCAATCGATTCCTCGGGTCAATATCTAGCCGCAGCCTCGGGTTCCAGGGCCCAATCTCACCAAGTGCGGTTAACTCAATTTGGGGTAAAATACCAAACTACCCCACTCCGTAACTACAAAAATACTGTCCCAAAATTACGTTTACATAACTTGGTGAGATTGGGCCAAGTGCCCAACCTCACCAAGCTAGTTTAACTAATTTCGGGGTAGTATTTTTGTAGTTACGGAGTGGGGTAGTTTGGTATTTTACCCCAAATTGAGTTTACCGCACTTGGTGAGATTGGGCGCTGATGTGTGCAACTTACCCCTTACCCCTTAATCGGCCCTTAAAGGAAGGGGCGCGTCAAAAGTGCCTCAAGGGTTCGTCTGATCGCCAAAATAAGGGTCGCAATCGATTCCTCGGGTCAATATCTAGCCGCAGCCTCGGGTTCCAGATGTGTGCAACTTACCCCTTACCCCTTAATCGGCCCTTAAATGAAGGGGCGCGTCAAAAGTGCCTCAAGGGTTCGTCTGATCGCCAAAATAAGGATCGCAATCGATTCCCTGGGTCAATACTTAGCCGCAGCCTCGGGTTCCAGATATGTGCAACTTACCCCTTACCCCTTAATCGGCCCTTAAATGAAGGGGCGCGTCAAAAGTGCCTCAAGGGTTCGTCTGATCGCCAAAATAAGGGTCGCAATCGATTCCCCGGGTCAATATCTAGCCGCAGCCTCGGGTTCCAGATGTGTGCAACTTACCCCTTACCCATTAAACGGCCCTTAAAGGAAGGGGCGTGTCAAAAGTGCCTCAAGGGTTCGTCTGATCGCCAAAATAAGGGTCGCAATCGATTCCTCGGGTCAATATCTAGCCGCAGCCTCGGGTTCCAGATGTGTGCACTTTACCCCTTACCCCTTAATCGGCCCTTAAATGAAGGGGCGCGTCAAAAGTGCCTCAAGGGTTCGTCTGATCGCCAAAATAAGGGTCGCAATCGATTCCTCGGGTCAATATCTAGCCGCAGCCTCGGGTTCCAGATGTGTGCAACTTACCCCTTACCCCTTAATCGGCCCTTAAAGGAAGGGGCGCGTCAAAAGTGCCTCAAGGGTTCGTCTGATCGCCAAAATAAGGGTCGCAATCGATTCCTCGGGTCAATATCTAGCCGCAGCCTCGGGTTCCAGATGTGTGCAACTTACCCCTTATCCCTTAATCGGCCGTTAAAGGAAGGGGCGCGTCAAAAGTGCCTCAAGGGTTCGTCTGATCGCCAAAACAGACGAACCCTTGAGGCACTTTTGACGCGCCCCTTCATTTAAGGGCCGATTAAGGGGTAAGGGGTAAGTTGCAAACATCTGGAACCCGAGGCTGCGGCTAGATATTGACCCGGGGAATCGATTGCGACCCTTATTTTGGCGATCAGACGAACCCTTGCGGCACTTTTGACGCGCCCCTTCCTTTAAGGGCCGATTAAGGGGTAAGGATTAAGTTGCACACATCTGGAACCCGAGGCTGCGGCTAGATATTGACCCGGGGAATCGATTGCGATCCTTATTATGGCGATCAGACGAACGCTTGAGGCACTTTTGACGCGCCCCTTCCTTTAAGGGCCGATTAAGAGGTAAGGGGTAAGTTGCACACATCTGGAACCCGAGGCTGCGGCTAGATATTGACCCGGGGAATCGATTGCGACCCTTATTTTGGCGATCAGACGAACCCTTGAGGAACTTTTGACGCGCCCCTTCCTTTAAGGGCCGATTAAGGGGTAAGGGGTAAGAGGTAGGGCCAAATAAAGGTCATATTCTTGCTCCCCGTCCCCCAATTGACCTAATATGAGTTTTTTAAGCGATTCTGAATCCGACGCTGTATTCGTTGCTGTTGCTGACGCTAACTTCACGGACATCTTTCAACAGCCGTCAGCGCATCTCGCATGTTGTCTTTAGACCATACCTACCTAACTGATGTTTTCCTTCCTTGCCCGTGGCTAAGCATAAAAGACAATATTGTCTACCAAAAGCAGTGAGAAATGACTGTGCCATGTTTGCTGATTTATATCAGATATGCCGCTAAACACAGGCATTGTAAAATTCACAAAATGCCCCGCACCTGGTTTGTAAAACGCCCATACCATTTTCAGTCACAGCCATAGAGTTGCGGCTACTAAATTACTTATGGAGCGGGGTGCTGGTTTTATTGTGAAGGAGAAAGGTACGAAAGTTTAAATAAACCCAGAAAAAGAAGATTTGACCTCGAAAAATATACTTTAAGTTATACCATGTAAACAAAACGAGGGACAACTGCTTACCAGAAAGATACTCCGCCTACTGCCCGAGCCCCACAGGATGAGATGGTTGACAGCGCTGCAAGTTTTCAGATTTCTGAGAAATTGCGAATCACGAAGTTAAGGATTTCACGAAGTTACCTCTCCTTACCCTAGGTATACTTCCGATAACAAATGAAGGATTTGTCACCATGCTATCGCGGATCGCCTAGCTTCAGACTCAGATTTTGTGTAGGTATAGCATGGCGGTGCCAGCCCATCTACCCCTGAAGAAGAATATCCTACTCCAGAATACCCCTGAAAGAAGCTGGGCTTAAGTTAAAAACGATCCCTTCCGTCTCAGCACTGGCCAAGGGATACCTATATTTCGAAAGTTCCACACTCGGCTCTCTGAAAGAAATTTTAACGTAATGGTGGGACATTCATTTTAAAAGCCCTCTTTCTTTAAAAACCCACTTTAAAAATCCATCAAAGCACGGCATATTCCACCGTTTATATGTTTAATATGTATGTGATTGTGTAGCCACTCCCGCCTACCGCCATGCATGCGTTAGGTATACATAGATCAGACATGTGCATGGATCCGAGCCATGGATCTATGATCTCAGTGGATCTCGAAGCAAACTGCAGGTTAGGATCAATGATCTCATCGGATCCGGCGTGAAAAATTATCTCGGATCTATGATTCTCATACGATCTGACGATAAACCAAGAACATGGAGCTATGATCTGAGTGGATCCCACCATGCGCAACATTTGAAACCATGCTTTAAAAGGATTTCTTCTTTCTATGTCAATAAGTGCCACAAAACTATGGACTAAGACGCACACTTACATAACATCACTAAAACAGAAAGTTTGTGAGTTGCAACAAGTGTTTTTTTTTTTATTTCTGTGTTTACAAAAATAAGTGAGGATCTATGATCTCACTGGATCTCAAGCAAATATGAGGCTCGGACCTGTGATCCCTACGGATCTCTCGATAAATTAGAGCTGGATCTATGATCCCGGTGGATCTGAGATTAGGATCCGTGGGATCAGATCCCAGATCCATTTTCTTGGATCGATGCACATGTCTGATATACGTATAAAGGTCAAATCGAACTGGTACTCAGATACAGTATGCGTGTAGCATCGTCATTACTTTTCAGTGCTCCTCGAGCTGTCACGCCCGGCTGGAAGCTGCGACCTCCAGTGACAGTCGCATTCACGATGAACTGATCGGTGTCCGGCCGGACGGCCCCGGCGGCTCGCTGCTCATCGTCAGAAGGCCCTACGACCGGCTCGTCTCGGCGTTCCTCGACAAAATAGCCGGGTAACGGCTGGGCCGCTGTTGTCGTTGGTTATAGTTGCCGTGCGAGATATTTGCATGAAGATGAGGATACAGAATAAAGCAATTAACACTCAGGTTTGAGGTTGCAATCGAAAGGCAATAAGTTGGCCAACAAACTAGCCCGGGGAACGACCTTTATGACTACATCATAAATTATTATGTAACACGGAATGATTGACAATGAAAATCGCTTGACTAACGTGTATTACCGAGACGTTTCCAAATCAGCTGGTTCATTTGACCACATATTTTTTTCGGTGTTCGCTAAACTTGATAATGTAACATCGCGGTTGGGACCGGCATTCCACCAGAAGTTGAGACGCCTCGATCGAGTCAGACTAAAATTGCATGCTTATTGCATAACATACAAGTACCTACAGGGTGCTGACTTAAAATGACACTCCACGACTGAAGCCATTCAGCGGCTCCTTACGCCGCGCCGCTTAGATTCCGAAAGCCAGCACAACTCACCCACGGACTCACATTGAAAAGTCCAATGACCAATGAGTATGTGGCCCAGGAATTCTTATACTTGTAGCCAGGGCTGCGGAGTCGATGGATTTTCGGCGACTCCGACTCCGACTCCGACTCCGGCTTTCAAAAACCAGTGGCGGCGGAAGGTATTCTAGGATAGGGGTGCAAACGATATTGAAGCGCCCCTTCCCGCTGGGCGCCCCTTACCATGCCGATGGCCGTCCCTGCACTGGAAAATCAGTTTCGCCCCTATACAGGCGCCCATAGAAGTTTGCAGAGTGCTATTCCTGGTCATAATCATCTCCCCAGTAAAGAAAAAACGCAAAATACGCCCTAGCACTAGGGGTGTAACCGCCCATACGGACAGTGCAATTTTACAGGCCCCAATCTCGGACCTCCCTTAACATTCATATGTTGTAAACGGCAAACCGCCCCCGATAAATGTTACACAAACTAATTTCCTCTCGCATATCGGCCATCAGGCGCCCCTTTTTGTCGCATGGAGCCTGCAACACTATAAGCCCTCATATGTTCGTGTTGGCGTTCGGAGGCTATCGCCTTCAAAGACGTCTCCTTAACCCTCGCCGGACCTATTGGTTTTCTACATACGCCCCGGCCGAGGGGGGGGGGGGGGTACGACCCCCCACTCGCCGTTTCGCTCCTGGTGGAGCTAGCGCGTCGCGGAAAAAACGAGCGTGTGCGCCGTTACGAGACGCAGAGATTGGTACCCGATTTTAAGGTCCTAGGTCAACCGGTGACCTCTGAGGTCAGGTCAAGTGCCCCAAGGTACGGTTCAGTTTTTGGTGAATAACTTCGCGAAAAACGGCCGCAGAGCGCCGATTTTGGCAGCATCGTGTTCGCCTTGCTCAGGCGCGTCGAATGATATACTTTTTGTCCGGGTTAGGTCAACTTGGGGTGTTGACCTCAGGTCAAGGTCAGGTCAGCACCCCCAGGTCACGAAGTTGGTCGAAAGAGGTCATGTCGCATATCATTCGATTCGGCAGGTCTTCCTGAGTCCATTGGTGGCTTTCCCGACTCGCTAGCTCAATTTGATCGGGAGTTATTGACGACAAACTAATATGACCTTGATGACGTCATAAGTGACGTCACGCAAGGTCAAAATTGCAAAAGTGACGCATCTAACCTTGCAAGGAGTGCATCAAATCACGATTCTGTGTGCTTGAGATAGTTGGAGATCGTTCCCGGCGCCAGAATAGCAGTTTTCATTTTTCCCCATTGACTTATAATGGTGAGGTCACGAAAATGACCTGACCTCATATGACCTTTAGGAAAAATCCGAGATATACAAGTTGTGGGACTCATAATGGATACTAGATCCTGCAAGTTTCATTTCCCTGTGACATCTCCTCTGGCAGTGAGGGCGTTGCGAAGTTGCGACATCTGAAGACCGTGCAGAGGTTCACTTATGACGTCATAGGTCAGTGACCTGACCTGACCCAAAAATGCGGTTGGTGTCAAAAGATCCGGCTTGGATCAAAGGTCAGGTATGCCAAGTTTCAGCTCTCTATCGCCAGCGTGTTCGGAGCTATCGCGAAAAAACCCTATGGGGGGCGGCACCCGCCCCCCCCCCCCTCGGCCGGCGAGGGATAAATGTTTCTTTTTCGTCCCACACACAGGCGCCCCTCTTTCGCATGCAGGCGCCCCTCTTCCGCATGGCGCGCTTCTCGAGTAGCTGCGCCCTCCTAGCCTTTATCGCCTGGCAAGATTATATTCGACAGGGTCGGCAGCATCTGCCTTTGTTTCAGATAAGGATGCCCTCCACTCTTCAGCATATCAAAAGATACTTTTCCCACGTCATTGCCACCCTCTTCGTGTCACAAGTGCCTTTATCAGTTGCGGTGTCGCCTCGCACTGCTCAGCTTTATGGCTGCCGCACCTCTTAACTTCCTGCCTCCTCTACAGATTTTCGAGGCGCCCCTTTCCATAGCTTTAGGGTGCAGCTGCCCCCCTTGCCCCCCTGCTTCCGCCGCCACTGTCAAAAACCAGCTCCGGCTCCGACTCCGGGCAGAATTGTCGACTCCGACCGACTCCAACTCCCGACTCCGACTCCGCAGACCTAGCAGGGCTGCGGAGTCGACAGCTTTTCGGTGACTCCGACTCCGACTCCGGCTCGGGTTTCTAAAATCAACTCCGACTCCGACTCCGGTCACAACTGTCGACTCCGACCGACTCCGACTCCTACTCCGACTCCGCAGCCCTGCTTGTAGCAAATGACCGATTAAGTATTTTTGCAAAAAAAAAAACAATGAAATAAACCCTTTTCAGAGATGACCCTATGCAGCTCTGGGATAAAATCAAGCGGATATCAGGGAGGGCGAATTCGACGGGACCACCGACTTTCGCCGAATTCGTCAACTTCGTGATCTGGCAGGATGATACTGACGATCTGATGGATGGACACTGGGATACTCAGGTGAGAAGCAACTAAAACTTTTTATCTTAACTCGCAAGTCGCAACCTGCCTGGGAGAGAGTGGGCAATTTATCCCCACAGATAGGTACGCTTTTCCGCAAATAACATCTCCCAAACACCGGCACTTCTACGCATCTATTCATAGGTATTTTTTGCGAGGAAAGATGTTTAGATTTCTCCAAAAATTTCATAGATCTTGTTAACATTTGGCAAATTTTCTTCGCAAATGTGTTTTTTTTTTTAAGTATGGATGAACTTTGTTAAGTCGTTTGAGAAGGCACGGGAACTTTTACATCGATCGCATTATTAGTTCTCGAGATAGCGCTGATCAGGCCACCTTGGGCGGCCTTCGCCCTGGCTGTCGCTGCTCTTACCGAGCGGGTGATTCCCACAGGAGCGTCTGAGCCGCGTGTGCGAGCGCGACTACCAGTACATCGTGCAGCTGGAGACGCTGGAGGAGGAGCTGCCGTACGTGCTGCGCCGGCTGGGCCTGGAGACGGAGGCGCGCCACCCGGTCACCTCGCGGAACGCCAGCCCGCGCCGCTACGACACCGGCCACTACCTGGACCAGCTGACCGAGGCCCAGCTGGCCCGGCTGGACACCGTCTATCGAATGGACATCATACTGTTCAATGGCTGACGCACGGAGCGGGAACGGCACAGTGCGCGCTCCGTTTTAATCGTCGAAAATAAACGTACATGTCACCGCAGGACTTGTTCGGTCGAAAAGGAATACGACTCATTTTATCTTAGAATGCTATACCGTAGCTACAATACATAATCCCTGCGCATACATTCTGGTAAATATAGCATAAAGAGCTTTTTGCCACATCGATTTATTGACTGATGATACACAATGACAGAGTACACTCAAGGACATGCAAGACCGCTGGCCAGTCGTGCGCGAACAAGCAGTAGTCGCCAGTCGGCAACAAAAATCACATTTCATCCCTAAACAGCACTCAGCAGATCTTTTTAGTTTTCAGTCACTAAACAAAAAAGCCTCCAAAAAACACATTTCCCAGGAATTTCAGTTGTCACAGAGCCACAGAGTCAAGGGCAACGTTAACGCGGCGGGCGGCAGCAGCGGCAGTGTGGGTCCAGTCCGACGGTCAACGACCGAACAACCCATATGTTTTGTCGCGACATCTGATCAGTGATCGTTGTTTGTTGATTGGGGCTTTAGGGCGCGCCGACTGCTAAGGTCATTTTGCGCCCATAACGTCGTACTAATAAAACAAGTGTGCCACAAGAAAGAACCTTCTAGATACTAAGACTAGAAAGTAAGACTCGATATAAAATAGCAAGGTAAGATAAAACAGCGCAAAGGTGTCGTCCTAGACAACTGACTAGATGAAAGGACTAGAGAGGGCTAGTTGGATTGGGGTCAGGTCGAGTAAATCACTTGGAAATTGATCGAACGGATGAAAGAAAAGATGTTGCCGGATAAAACCCAGGGTGACTCGTCACCCAGTAAGCGGCGGATAGTGGTACCCGGAGCGATGCGCCCGAGGTAGCGTGTCCGGTTCGGTTCAGCAAGAGGACAAGATAAAAGCACGTGAGAGACAGTGAGAGGCACGGTACACCTGCGACAGGTGGGCTGCTCTTCTCCGCGGAGGAGATGACCATGCGTGGCATACGTATGGCCGATGCGCAGCCTACATAAGACGACTTCGTTATGTCTGTTACTTTGCATGGATGACGACCAAGGCTCGAGAGTTGGCTTGATATCTCTCAGCTTACTGCTCGCGCGCGAGTCCCACTCTGCCTGCCACTGCGAGAGCATGGAAGATCGTACGACGGGATAGTAATCCCGGGCAGGCAGAGGAAATCGCCGAGTGTAGGGCGCTGCGGCAGCGCGTCTCGCGGCGGCGTCAGCAAGCTCGTTGCCTTGGATTCCAACATGACTGGGAATCCAGCAAAACCGGATAGTTTTTCCGGACTGTTCCACCGAAGTTAGCCGAGTTAAAATGTCCTGAATGATCGGGTCGTCAGGATTAAACCGTCGTAAAGCCAACAGACTGCTTAGTGAGTCTGATAAAATCAAATAGAAAGAACCGTCGGACACCTCAATAAAACACAGAGCCTTTTCGATGGCGACTAGCTCTGAGGAAAACACCGAGGCGCTGGGTGGAAGGGAAAACGAGCGGGTGTCCCGACCAGCGACAAAAGAGCAACCCGCTCCCTCGGATGTTTTTGAGCCGTCTGTGTAGACTGAAATAAAACCATCATACGAGGCTATATGCTCCAAGGCTCTGGTTTGTGCTTCATAGGACAGCAGGCTATCCTTTTTTACTTCGGAAAGCGAGAGGTCTACCTGCGGCGGGGCGTTTCTCCAGGGTGGAGAAGGCGTTCCCCAGATACGCCGAACGCCGCGCAAGGCTATATTCGATGTAGAGAATAACCCTCTCATGCGTGCTCCGAATGGATGACTCGTCCCATTACCAGATGAAGCAATGTGACGCGAAAAGACGTACGGGTACGTCGGGTGCGTCGGGAATTGACGTAGTTTAAGAGCATAACGCATCCCCAGCGTCTGACGGCGGAGAGAAAGTGGCGGCTCGTGCGCCTCAGCAAGAATGCTGCTCCTGGGCGAGGTGCGGAATGCTCCGGTGGCTATTCGGAGTGCTGCATGATGGACTGTATCCAGGACCTTCTTGCTGGATTCACTCGCTGAATCATGGACAAAGGAAGCGTAATCCAGCTTCGATCGTATAATCGATCGATAGAGAAGAAGAAGGGTCCTGCGGTCCGCACCATAAGATGTGCGGGCGACACATTTTAAAACGTTCATGGATTTAAAACATCGTTCCCGAAGCGTTCTAAAATGTTCTCTATACGTCAAACGACTGTCAAAAAAGATTCCAAGAAACTTCGCCACCGGCCGAGTAGGAATCACCTGTCCATGGAGCTTGATTCCCAAGGCTAAGTCGTCACAGCGGCGGCGGCAAAAGTGCATAGCGACGGTCTTCGTTGTTGAAAAACGAAGGCCGTTGTCGTCGCTCCACCTCTCCAGACGGGTTACAGCGAGCTGCAACTGTCTGGCAACGTGACGGGCGGTCGTAGCTGAAAACCAGATCGCGAAATCATCGACAAATAGTGATTTGCCGATAGATGGTGCGAGATTGTCGCCAATGTCATTGATCGCCACAGCGAACAGCGCCACACTGAGCACTCCGCCCTGAGGAATTCCGTTCTCCTGAATAAAACTGCTCGAAAGACGGCTGCCAACACGGACTTTGAACCGACGACCCGATAAAAAGTTCTTGATAAAGAGACCCATTCGGCCACGTATGCCGTACTTATGTACTTTGGAAAGTATTCTGTGTCGTAACACTGTATCATAGGCCGCCTCAATATCAAAGAACAGTGCTCCAAGGTGCTTCTTTTCAGTAAAACAGGTGCGTATCTCGGTGTCAAGGGCTAAGATGTGGTCCACAGGGCTGCGGTGTTTTCTAAAACCGCACTGGGCGTTTGTAAAAACACCGTGATGTTCCAGAAACCAGCTAAGACGCACATTGACCATCTTCTCCATCAGCTTTGATAGCGATGATGTGAGAGAGATGGGCCGATAATGGAGAGGGTCATGTCCCGACTTGCCAGCCTTCAAGATAGGAATGATAATGGCTTCCCGCCAGGTCTCAGGGAAGGTGCCAGTCTCCCAAAGCGAATTGAAGGTTGCTAGCAGCGCCTCGAGGGCTACTGCGGGGAGATGACGGAGCATGTCGTTGTGGACAGCATCCGGACCTTCTGAGACGCTGCGCAACGAGCTGATGGCAGACGTAAGCTCAACCATGGTGAAAGGCTCATTGTACACGAAATTTTCAGCTGTGCTGAAGTCCACGGCGGCTGGTGCAGGTCGTGAGGACTCTCCTCGGCAGCGCTGATAGAGTGCACGGCCTATCGTCTCTGCGACGTCTGAAGGGTGAGATATGTCCGTGTTGTTCACTCTTAAAACCGGAAGCGGAACAGAGCTGAACCGGCCTTCAATGCGCTTCATGCGTGCCCATATCTGGGTCGTAGGAGTAAAACGGTTTAAGGAACTTACGTAAGTGCGCCATGAAACAGCCTTTGCCTCTTTTAAAACGCGTCGGGCAAAAGCCCGCGCTTTCTTAAAAGCGATGAGGTTCTCAGTAGTGCCACTCCGGTCAAACTTTCTAAAAGCGCGTTTCCTGGCACGAATCGCGTCTCCGCATTCCTTGGTCCACCACGGAACAGGAGGACGACGAGGCTGACTCGACGTCTTGGGTATGCACCCGTTTGCGGAATCAATGAGTAGGGACGTAAACTCCTCTGTGGATATCACAGAGGTGTCGGCTCTGGATAGAACAGAGGCCTCTACGGCGGTCTGGAAATCGCCCCAGTCGGCCTTCCGAAGATTCCACCTAGGTGGACGGCTGCCTACTACTGGGGACTCCTGGTGCTCCAGCCACACCGGGAAATGGTCGCTCCCGAGTGGGTCGTCATGGACGAACCAGTTAAAAAGCTGAGCTAGCTGCGGGCTGGCTAAGCTCAGGTCCAGAGCCGATGTTTGACCGGAGGGTGTTGTAAAATGGGTGCGCTGTCCTGTATTTAAAATACAGAGCGCCTCATCGCGGATAAAAGATTCTAAAAGTCGACCACGAGTGCCAGTCGTGTCGCAGCCCCACGCCAGGCTATGGGCGTTAAAATCGCCCACTAGCAGGACCGGAGGTGGAAGTTCATCGACAAGTCGATGTAGCTCAACCACCGGGAGCGCTCTACCTGGTGGTAGGTATAAGGAGCACACGGTCAGTTCCCGGTGGTTGAAATCAACTCTGGCGGCCACCGCCTGCAGGGGAGTCTGCAGCGGCACCTGGCGCGCAGGTACGCTATGGTGAACCGCCAGAAGCACACCTCCATGGGCAACGGTCGGGGTATCTAGGTCTCTTCTAAAAACAGAGTAGCCCTTGATGACAAAGGTGACATTTGGCGCTAGCTTGGTCTCCTGGAGACCTAAAACAAGGGGTGTGCGCCAACGGATAAGAGACTGTAGGTCCTGGTAGTTGGCCCGGAGGCCTCTACAGTTCCACTGTAGAATAAAAGGCGTGGTTAAAAAGGCGCAAAAAGGGCGCGTATAACATGAGGCAAAGGCGCACGCAGATACCTGACTGGCCACAAAAAAGGTAAAAAACACCGAGAGAAACGCACCTGGTAAAAAAGCGCAATAGCGCGAAAAAGATAAAAGGATAAAAGAGGAAATGACTAGAGTAAATGACTAGACTAAGTCCTCTTTTTCCGAAGAGGCGCTCCCCCCGTAGCGGATACGGGGGTGCCCCGAGCCCTCTCGGTGGAGTCTGCCTTCTGCGGAGGCAGATCGGGCGTGACTCAAGCCCTGCTGGGGCTTTTTCGCCCGAGGAGCGTCACCCTCCGAGGGCGACCAGCTCGGGGGCGTCTGCCGTTTGGCAAGGCGCCCCGGAGCCGCAGGGGGCTGAGGCTGCCCCGACGGGGATGTCGGGGCGGCGGCCTGTGTCCTTGACACAGGTGTGTCTGGCAGCGACGGCGGAGGCCGCCGCTGCTGCGAGAGCGAGGGAGGGGGCGGGGGACCCATGATGGGCCGAGTCCCCGCCTGAGGGGTCTCCGGGGTGTCAGCGGCGACAGCCGCATTGGCACTCCCGGAGGCGGAGGCGGCAACAGAGGCCTCCTTAGCCTCGATGGCCTTTTGAACGAGGCGAGCCCTCCTCGCCTCTCG